TTTATCAACAAAAATATGACCCTATGAGTTTGGTAATTTGTAGAATAGGATTTGTGCACATGCAATCAAGAATTTAAAAAGGTGTAACTGATGTGTTGTTTTTGTGAGAGAGAAAGGAAAGAAAAAAAAGGTTTGCAACTCATAACACATTTTATCGAAGACTTAACATATACAAATTGCACTGTTAGGGACTCTGTTTTGCTTCAATAATACTAGATATAATACAGTGTCAATCTTATAAACTACTATTTATTTTGTATAAAATCATAATACAGTACTGGTCAAAAGTTTGGAAACATTACTGTTTTAAGTCTTTTGCTTATCAAGCTTGTATTTATTTGACAAAAACAAAACAAACCAAAAAAAAAAAACAGTGATATTATTGAATATTTTCATAATGTAAAACAGCTGTTTTCTATTTTTCTGTTTTCTATGTGAATATATAGTAGTATAATTTATTCCTGTATGTATAATATTATATCATGTAACACTGAAGACTGGATTAATGGTTCTGAAAATTTAGCTTTGCATCACAGGATTAAATTATATTTTAAAGTATATTAAAATAGAAAACCATTATTTTTATTTTTTTTTACATTACATATCTTACTTTATTTTAATTATATTAATACAAAACCTTCTTTATTTAAATGTTTATAAACCTGTTTGCACACTGTTTTTGCTGTTGTTTGTGATTTGTTCTATAATAAATGAACTGAAATTACCAAATACGAGTCTGTATCTTTCGCATGTCGTTGAAAAGTCTCCAAAATAGTTTTTGGGCAAATGAGGACAAGTTAAATTAGACCACTGCTTGTCTGCCCATATTATATTAATTAAAACTCAAATGACCAACTGGTTACCAACATGCGACTGTAGATCCATGATGTTGCCACAACGTCGCAGTTACTTACTGACAACGTTACAAAGTTACGTCGGGACAATGAATACAGGAATTTCACTTTTCTGGTTGCCATGACTAGTTACGTTGCCACGAGGAAAATTTGGTCACCAGATTACGTTGCAGTTACGCAACAGTCACGTATTTTTGTTAGCTGGGATAAATGCTATACTAAATAAATGCAACAATACTCTATCCTGATCGTTTTAGTCGAACATCTTAGCTGTGAACTACCAGACTATCAGTAATTGTCTGGTTCCCTTTCATGGTTCTGCATTTGGACTATCATCTTTTACAGTGAAAGCCACTAATCAGTGAAATGCCCTATGAGAAGACATAAAAGGGTTTAAAGCTCATAGTCTTTTTAAACTGTAGTTAAAATTCTGAAATTGAGCTTTTTTAAAATTGAATCAATTATGTAACCATTGAGATTGTTGTAATTAAATTGATTGACTTATTTATTTATGTTCTTTTATGGCCTTGACCGTATGTTTATGTATGTATTGTATGTGAACATAATTATTGTCGCTGCTATGTTAGCTTTGACCAGCCTGGGGGACTATGGATGAAAAATAGCCTTTGGCTAAATCCGGTACTGTAGATGAAATGGAATTTTTTTGTTAAAAATTGTGCATGGTCCCTTTATAAAGAAATAAAGTAAAATAAATAAATTAATAAAAAAAAAAAACTCCACAAGATGCCATCAACTAAAGATGACCCTTAACTCTTTCAATTTTCAAGAGGATTGTTCCTATTAAGAGCACCGGTTTGATTTCATATTAGGAAACTCCCTAAATATAAAGTCAATATAATAAAATACAAAACAAAAATAAAAAGTTTAGTGCCATTTCTATAGGCGTTTGCTATTTACACCCACAGAAAGGCTTAAAGGATTTGTTCAACCATGAATGAAAATTATTCCATAATTTGCTAACCTTTAAGCCATCCTTGGTGTATATGACTTTTATGAAAGTAAAAAAAAATGTCTGTCTCTTCCAAGCTTTAAAATGGGTTTAATTTTTTTTTTTTTTTTTGAAGCCCAAAAACGCACTTCCACCCATCATAAAATTAATCCATATATATAGAAGTTAATAAAGGTCTTCTGAAGCTATGCATTTTTATAAGAAAAATATCCATTATAAACTGTGATCACTAGCTTCCTCTAATGGCCGCTAACGCTTAGGTGAGAGCAGTCACTTCTCACGGTTCTTCTCAGGGCTTGGTAACAAACTCAAACTCCTCTGACAATTCTCTTTGAAAATTCATGTTTTCAGACTTCTAATTTGTGTCCTTTGTTTTGTTCTCTCCTCTGCGCTCCTGGGTTCATCAATACATTGAGTCAGAGATCATTCGTTGGCTGGAACTCAACTAGTGCAAGCCAATGATTTTAGTTTATAAAATTTTAAATATGGATATGTTTCTTACAAAAACACATCACTTTGCTTCAGAAGGCTTTATTAAAGCATTCTGCAAATATTTTGTTTGACTCACCGCTGCAGGTTGTGCTAGAAGAGCACAGAAGAGGCTGATAACGCCTGTCCCACAGCCCAAATCCATGACCACCTTCCCCCTCAGGGATGCACTATTACTCAGGATCACCTGCCTGTATGTATCTGTGCGGGGTTTATCTGACAGCATCTCCAGGTGAAGCCTCTGAGAGAAAGATCCAGATAATACATGTTAACACATAGTTTGCTTCTGTATGAAGAATACTTTGAGTTTAATCCAACCATTGTATTTAAGCAATTTTATTGATTTAACTGATACTTGCTATAGGCTTTAGATTGACTAGCTTAACATTTTAGTACTTACTAATGTCCCATAATCGCCAAAGTATTCGTCATCTTGCCAAGCATCTTCAACATCCACTCTTTTGTGCAAATAGCTGGATGGGACATAACCAAACATACCCTGCAGTTCAGCCCACCACCACACGTCTGAACTCCTCTCATGGACCAGCAGTTTATCGCCAACTGAGAAACTAAGCTGTCGGTTAAAAGAAAGTTAGTATATATTTATATAATATAAACAATAGTAATATAAACAATATATATTATATAATTATATATATTGTTTTCCTTTTTCGCGTATATTGTCACCAAAAGTAATTGACATGTAAACAATTTTTGATCGATGTTTCTCTAAAGTATGACTAAACTAAAATGTTAAGCAAACAGAATCAACTGTAGCATTTGGTCTTCTAACTATTCCCCAAACAATGAAATACTTCCGCTCAATAATAAATAATGCTGCCTTCACGTGCGTATCGGAACTTCATAGTTTTAAAAATATGTCGTAGCAGTAACGTACCACCATAGGACTGGGAAACTGTGGGAAGCTCCCATGGAAGCTCCCAAGCTGGCCACAAACTGTTAATGGCGTAAGGAAAAATTAATGTTATTAGTTTTTTTTTCCCAAAACACCTACGTCGCATTTACTTGCCGTTAAAAGTATGCATATGAATTAACATTTTAAGCGGATTGTACGTATTTTAGAATCGTCAGCAAGCTATAACGTGGTGAATGTTTGTTTACAGTTGTCAATGAATGAGGCTATATCATTTTGGCTTTATAACACTATTTCCTTCAATAAATAGGAAATAATAAACCCGGTGTCCTCAATGATTGTTGTTCTTTCCAACAGCATAACACTTCAATGCGACGAACTCAATCATGAAGTGGGAAGTAGGAAATGTCCATGTCCAAAATAGCATGTGAAGGTAGCAAGACTCACACTCACTCACTCGTGAAATCAGAGTTTATTTTGAAAGGCGACCTAATGTTCTCACTAGCATACCTGCTCATCTCCTTCAGCCATAAAATCAGCAAGTCCTACATACTCTTCAGCTTCATGACCCTCGCTTTCATGCATTTTAGCACGTCAAAACTGTAATTGCGCACAAATCACTACACGCAAATCTGTTTAATCTCGACAAAAACAAAGGGAAAGGAACTGTTTTAACATTCGACGACTCCTCTCCCACCACACAATTTCACAATAAAAGTCCTTTTGAAATTACCTTAAAACCTACCCATCGCCGCCCCCTGATCCCCCACCCCTAATCCTACCCATCTCCACCCGTTAGATCTGGATCCAACTCCGCCCCCTGGATCTCATGTACTGCAATGAGGTGCTACCGTTCTCTGGTGATCCTGTGTTTTTAAAAAGGATAGTTTCTTAAAGGTACGTGGTATATGATATATCAATTGTGGATTAATATCTGCCTATGGTTAATACAGTTATCGTTTTAAAAAGGGTCAAAAGTGGTGGACTTTGCATGGTTTAAAGTGACCAAAATACCCACAATAACAATAATAATAATTATATATTTTTTTAAATATTCAGTTTATTCACTTTCACTGCATCTCAGTTAAATTAAGTTTTTTTTTTTTTTTTTTTAATTGATTATTTTATTTATTTATTTTTGATGGACTATAAAATGTCCAAAACTGAGGTGGATTGCTTGCAAACCATTTTTTGTCAATTGCAGGCCAAGACAGAATAGTGTTCATGAACTATGAGCGTCAAACTGAAAGTGAATTTTATCACCCGTAGAGTTAAACAGCCTATTACCCACCCATTATCTGTTTGTCATTATGTTTCATTATATATTAAGACCTGGCAACCTACCCCAGGAAAAAAAAAAAAAAAAAAAAAACATTGCCAAGAAAATCACCAAGAGGATATGACTGAAATAGTTAATGGAAGAGAGAGAGAGAGAATTTGAATTTTGACAATCCTTTATTACACAAATATGACAATCAAAAACATTCACAAAAAAGGTCCCATATTTTCACATCTAAAAAACTCACATCAACACTTCTGAAATAACCAGTTCATTATCAACTAATGAACACATGCAGCACATTATTGCAGCACCATTTAATTTCAAAAATACTCAATGTACTCATTAATTTGTAAAAATTAAACTCAATTACAAGTCGTGATTTTACCATTTTTTTGAAAGCTGTTATAAGTTCTTGTTCTCCTTCCTGTTCAATTGTATTTCTCCTAGTTATATAAATAGCTAATTTTGCAATACCAACAATAAAATTAAGCAATTGACATTTGTATTTTTTCTTAATAGTGTACATACAACCAAGTATAAAATCCTGCTTTGTAAAACACATCTCAAAAGATTCAAAAAGAAGCTCTAAAAGGCTAAACAAAAAAGAAAGTCTATTACAAAACATAAAACAATGAAACACAGTCTCCCTTTCATTACAAAAAGGACAATTCTCGCTTACATTTGGGTTCAACATTGCCACAAAAGAATTAACTGCAATAGCCCCGAGTATCCTCCACTGAAGATCACCAACTCTTTTAGGTAAAGGAGGTTTGTACAGAATCCTCCACACTGGTTTTGTTGTTTCAATAATCTCTAACGTGTCTCTCCATACAGTATCACTTCTATTCTTTAACCATTTTAAATTCATCACTTTGACAAGACTTCTGTACAATGCTTTCCCTTTAGCTTCAAAAAAATCAATTTGCACATCAATTTCCTTTTTCATCCAGGGATTAATATTGTTAAATAAAACAAGATCAGGTAGCTACAATACTTATATCTGGAAAAAAATCTTCGCAGTCTGGAAATATACATTTCTTGTTGTACTCATCAAGTAAAGTTCTTTCTTGTACATTCAAAGCCCCCTGTAGTTTATCTAAAAAACGTTTAACATATCGCTCAGATTTCACCTTTTAAGGCTGAAACTGCTTCTGCATCTTTAAATTCAGGACCTGCATTTTTTATAATGTGTTTCAACTGTAAAGATCCACTTCTGTACAACAAATATTTCAGACCCGGTATTTCATCCCCAGACACATCAAGACGTGCTCCACACACAATGGGCTCTTCCAATAACCAGTACAGCGACATTAATGGTTCCATCCATTGAGGTTTAAACAGACTCCATATTTTAAAAAGACTTCGATAAAAAGCGTGAATTCCTCTAAAATTGAATTTTTTTGAATCCATTAAAAACAACACATTGTCCAGGCCGAGTCCACTTATTCTGCGTAAAATGCACTGAGCCACTGGTCTCCACACCAGTCTTTTAGATCCCAGCATACACTTCTGCACAAACTGAAGACGATAGGCAGCACATCTGCTAGCCAAATGCACTAGACCTTGGCCTCCATCTTCTTTCGCCGGGAACAAAACACTTTGCGGGATCCAGTGCAAATTGTCCCAAAAGAAGTTCACAATTTCTGCTTGAATTTTCGGTAAGAGACCGACAGGAGGATCAACACATGCAAGTCTATGCCAGAGGGAAGAAGCCGCGAGATTGTTAATGATGAGTGTGCGTCCTTTAAAAGACAGCTGTGGAAGAAGCCATTTCCATTTTTTCAAACGTCCTATTACTTTATCTGCCATTCCTTCCCAGTTTTTCTGCATGAAAACTTCATTTCCTAAGAACACACCAAGATATTTTAACCCATCTTTTTGCCATAATAGGCCTCCTGGTAGAGTAGGATTCCCTCCTTCCCATTTTCCAACCAATAAAGCATCACTTTTCCCCCAATTCACAGTTGCTGAATAAATCTCTTTAAAATCATTAACAACTTCTTTTAACATTTCAACATCATTGCTATCATTTATAAAAACAATAACGTCATCAGCAAATGCAGATAAATAAAAAGCATTATTACACTGTGGCAATGTTAGACCCTTTAACTTATTCCGTAACATAAAAAGCAATGGTTCTATAGCCAGCACATACAGTATAATAACCCAGACATGGCACAGCCTTGTCTAACCCCTCTCTGTACAGTAAAGGGGGCACACAAACTACCATTAATTTTGATCACTCTCAATTTCACAATACATTGTTCTGATCATATCAATAAAACTTGAATTGAACCCAAAAGCTTGCAAAGTATTCCACAAATACAGGTGTTCAACCCGATCAAAGGCCTTCTCTTGGTCCAAAGAAATAAGGCCAATATTTATACCAAACAACTTTGAAACTTCCAAAACATCTCTGATTAGAGTAATATTATCACAAATTGATCTGTTTGGTACACAATATGTTTGATCGTAGTGTATCACCTTCCCTATAATTTTACTCAATCTTTTAGCCAAAGTTTTGGACAGGATTTTGTACTCTCATATTTTGAAGATCACCTTTTTTGGGCAATAGAGTGATAACTGCCCTTCTGCAACTGAGAGGGAGAAATCCATTAATAAAACTTTCATCAAACACTAATAAGAGATCTTCTCTTAAAATGGGCCAGAAAGTTTTATAAAATTCAATGGGTAACCCGTCGATCCCAGGGGATTTCCCATTCGCCATACTCATCATTGCTGTATAAAGTTCTTGCTCTGTCAAAGGTTTTTGCAAACTTTCATTGCTCTCTTCATCAAGCTTTGGCAGACCTTCAAAAAAACTACTAATATTCATCTTTTCATTTATCAAATCAGCTGTATATAATTTTTTTTATAAAACTGTACAGAAACTTCTCTTATCTCAGAAGCTTCAGTTAATTCCTGTCCTGTCTCAGAGACCAAAGAATGAATTATTCTGCTTTGACTGTTTTTTTTTCTCCATACTGAAAAAAAATTTGGAAGGTGCATCCATTTGTGTGACATTCTGGAAACGTGAGCGAACCAGCGCTCCCTGTGCCTTAATGTCCAACATGTTTGCAAATAAAGTTTTCTTTGATGTCAGAGCTTCCATATATTCTTTTTTGCCTGTAGATTCAGACAAACTGTACAAATCAAGTATCTCAGTCTCTAACATCTTCAATGATCTAGTTATTTCTTTTGTAACATTAAGAGTGTATTGCTGCCAAAAGTTTTTAATTTGTATTTTACCGCAATCCCACCATTGCTGTACAGAGCTATATGAGTGCTTTTGTTGTTTAAAAACATCCCAGAAAAAAGTAAAAGAATCTTTAAAATGTTTATCATCAAGTAAAGACGTATTTAAATGCCAATAGGCACTTCTTGACTTCACATGGCTAACTAGGACAGAACAAAGAACCGCACTGTGGTCCGAAAAACCTACAGGATTAATTTGACAAGATTTAAAAATATTGAACTGGTGCTTAAAGCTATAAAACCGATCAAGACGTGCCAAAGACAAAGAATTATCTTTACAATGAACCCATGTGTATTGTCTTAATTGTTTATGTATACTTCTCCAAATATCACAAAAATCAAAAGTTTGAATGATTTGCTTGAGAACTCTTTGAGATGCAACATGTGGTTCTAAATGATTTCGATCTATTTTATCACTCTCTGTAGGCAGTTAAAATCTCCACCTAAAACTAAAAAATCATCTGTATTTAGGCCTTTGAGAGTAGTGTTGATTAAATTTAAAAACAAAACTCTTTCCACTCCATTATTAGGAGCATAAATATTTAAAAAAAAAAACATAACAATTTTTTCAAATTTAACAATAACTTTTAAAAAACGACCTTTTTCAATTTCAACAGATTCATAAGATACTGGAGTCATATTTTTACTAAATAAAATTGCAACACCTCCACTAATAGAGGATTTATGACTAAGAAAAAGTTAACCTCCCCATTCTCTTTTCCAATCCACCTCATTTCTTTAATCGCTGTGCGTTTCTTGTATAAACATGACATCAACAGACTTCTGATTAATAAATTCATACAACATCATCCTCTTATGAACTCTAGCTCCATTTAATTGAGAGTTCCGATTTTTAGCTGACTCATAGGCTAGTTTTATTTAGGTTCAACAAGAAACTGAGATGGAAAAAAACAGAGAGTGTGCATAAGGTCAAAAAAACCAAGCTCAGAGGTTTAAACCATGGCATTCTTGTCATCTCTACTAGGAATTTGTTTTTTCAACTTGTTCACAAACTTCCGTAAACGATACACTTCAAGATCTGAGAAAGCCCCTTCCTTTATCAGATATCTTGTGTCTTTCACAAATTGTGCACGATTAGGAAAATAATCCTCAATCTGCACACCTTTTAGCCCCTTCGTTTCCTGAAGAAAAACACCATGTCTTCAGCTTTGTACAGAACATTCCCTGCTTCATTCTGGGAACAGACAGAAACCTCTGAACACACAGAAACATTAGAATCAGAATCATCATCATCATCCGAAGCATCTTCAGCAGCGTCACTTTTTTTGACCAGTTTACTGTTTTTATCATTTCGACTCTTTCTTCTTTTAATTGGAGTTAACTTCCATATCCAATTCACAGTCATTCAATCTCAGATTTTCCTGTATAATCTCTCTATTTTGTTCTATAAACGCCGAAGATAATGTACTCAACCCCAACGCGTTCTCGGCCGCCAGAGACTCCGCCACAACACTTCTATGATCAACAGGAACCCGCACCTCCGCGCTACTCGCTCCCTCCAGCGGCTCGATCACTGTACTCGCGGGAATCGCCGACACTATGGTTCAGACGCGCTACTCTCATCCACAGCGCTCCCCGCTTTAGCTGCATCAATCAGCTCTGTGTTTTTATTCACCTTATCAGGGCAATTACGACTGAGATGCCCGATTTTCATACAACCAAAACATTTGATCGTCGTGTCAGATGATGCGAAAACAGTATAATCAAAGCCTTCTATTTTAAATTTAAAGACCAGGTCAAGTTCATCCTCACCTTGTTGAACCTTGTTCACAAACCACAAACCTTGAGTGAACCTTTGATTACAACACCTTTTTGCACCAATTCATTTGCCTTCTCAATAGTGCTAAAAAAAAGCACAAACACATCTTCCACGTTAACATTTGAATCAATCTTCACTCCATGACGCCGAGTTAAATTTTCAAAAGCCATCGTGTTTGGAGTCGCCATGCTTTCCAGCAAAATGCTGGAAGCAGACTATCCTCACAAAACAAAAAAACTAAAACAACAAAAAACACAAACATATACGGAGCCCCTCTAGTCCCACTTTGGTAAAAAAAAATTATTATAACTATCTTGTGGCCTCAAGATAGTAACTCGTGGCCACAAGATACTAACTCGTGGCCTCAAGATACTAACTCGTGGCCTCGAGATACTAACTCGTGGCCTCAAGATACTAACTCGTGGCCTCAAGATAGTAACTCGTGGCCACAAGATACTAACTCGTGGCCACAAGATACTAACTCGTGGCCTCAAGATACTAACTCGTGGCCACAAGATACTAACTCGTGGCCTCAAGATAATAACTCGTGGCCACAAGATAGTAACTCGTGGCCACAAGATAGTAACTCGTGGCCACAAGATAGTAACTCGTGGCCACAAGATAGTAACTCGTGGCCACAAGATAGTAACTCGTGGCCACAAGATAGTAACTCGTGGCCTCAAGATAGTAACTCGTGGCCACAAGATAGTAACTCGTGGCCTCAAGATAGTAACTCGTGGCCTCAAGATAGTAACTCGTGGCCTCAAGATAGTAACTCGTGGCCACAAGATACTAACTCGTGGCCACAAGATAGAGTTACTATCTTGAGGCCACGAGTTACTATCTTGAGGACACGAGGACACTCACGAGGCCACGAGTTACTATCCACGAGGCCACGAGGACACTCACTCCCAGCATGCACTCGAGAGAGAGAGAGAGAGAGAGAGAGAGAGAGAGAGAGAGAGAGAGAGAGAGAGAGAGAGAGAGAGAGAGAGAGACTTTACAACTCTTTACAACTCTTTTTTTTCTGTCCTAAAACACTAAAGAACAATGTATTTCACCCATGTAGACATGCTGCTACAATCAGCAAATACGAAAACAGGAAAAAAAAAAAAAAATTAATAAATAATATAAAGAAAAGAAAAGAACAAATAAAATAAAATATAAAAATTCTTAAGAATGACCATTAGACATCACCAATTAAACACTATGGTTTCGTCTTCACATAATGACAATAAAGCACCATTCACACACCATTTAGACTCAAATTCAAGTAAGTTTTTGGTGATTTGATAAAATTTATGTTCCAGTCTGACTCTTGATTCAACCAGGGCAGTGAACATCTTCAACACGCTCATATCTCTCCCCTCAGCAGCCATTCTGCAAGTCTTCCAAATGGCTAATTTAGCTTGACCAACTGCGAAATTTGCTAAGGTACACTGTTCTCTGTGTGTTTTTGAATACTTGCATCCATAAATAAAAATTGTCTTGTTAAAACAAAACCCCAGGCTTCCAAGTATTCTTTCGAGTAAGGTGAACAGTGACACTAGCCTAGGACATTCAACAAAAACATGGAACACAGTCTCTGGTTTAGAACAAAAATTACAGGATGATAAATCAGCCATATTAAACTTGGAAACAAAACAATTTGTGGGTAACACACAGTGCAATATTCTCCACTGCAAGTCCCCAGATCGTTTTGGAAGAGGGCCTTTATACAACAGTCTCCAAGAAGGATCAAGATCATCAGAATTCATAAAATACTCTCTCCATTTTGTATCACATCTCTGATTTATGTTCCCAAAATAGTCAGTCTTTACACATATCTGATAAAACTCTCTTTTTCCAACAGCCTGAAAATCTAGCTCCTGCAGCCCCTTAAATTTCAGTAACTTCCCCTCTTGGTCATCCACTGTACAAACCCTTGAAGACACAAGTAATTTAGGGAAAGAACATTGCATCGAATCACCAGACAGGAAACAATTTACAAAATTTTGAAATTCGGGGGGGGGAAATTTGCTTTCAGATTGTTTATGAAATGTTCCACCATTCTCACAGACCTGAATCCCACCTGTTCACAAATTTTAGCAGCTGGTCTCCATTTTCTGGAAGCAATATCAATCAGATGTGCAACTGTGGTCAAACCTTTCTCTATAAATGTTTTAACAATGGTATTAGACATGCAAACATTGTCACCAAGAAAAGAGTTATAAAACAGTGGCTCATTCAGGCCAAAATGATCACTCTCTCTTTCAAACTGCTTAAAAACAGTCCAAGAATTTAAAACTGAAGCATAAAAACTTACATCATATCGGCCTATAATGTCTCTATTATACAAAGACATCAAAAACAATTGTTTGTCAAAAGAAAACCCGCCAAAAGTTCTAAGCAAAGCTAGGCCAAATGGCACCCATGATGTTATGTGCTCTTTAGAATAAAGCAAAATCTGAGCAGCTTTCAGCCTCATAGCTTTAACTTTAGCAGTCACATCAATTAAACCTTGACCTCCTTCACTAACTGGCAAATAAAGAACTGCAGGGGGGAGCCAATGGTGACCGTCCCAAAAAAAATCGTCAAAAATTTTCTGCAAACGTTGCAAGAGAAACTTTGGTGGATCAAGTACATATAAACGATGCCACAACATAGATGCAGCTAGATTATTAACTATAAGTACTCTACCCCTGTATGACAAACTAGGGAGAATCCATCTCCACCTTTGTAGACGGCCAGACACTTTATCAAATACGCCTTCCCAATTTTTCTCCATATATTGATCTGTCCCCATAAAAACCCCAACCCCAGAGAGAGAGAGAGAGAGAGAGAGAGAGAGAGAGAGAGAGAGAGAGAGAGATCTAATATTAATAATATCTAATACTAGATACCTTATTGAGAATATTTAATAATATTATCTTTTTTCATCAATAAAGCCCATGCTCTGTTGCAAAAACAGATGCTCTGTTTTTTTTTTTCTTTCAGTATTTATAATTACAGCAATTGTATCAAGTCACCTGCTAAGCAAATTTGGATAGTCCACAATGCAGTATAACAATTATCTGTAACAGTAACAACTACAGAGATAACTAAGCAAAAAGATTCATATACGTTTTCTGAAATAAATACTGAAAATGTTATAGTATTTTAACAATCTGTTCTATACCCATAAATTTGTACACAGTGATTTGAAATAACATAGCCAGACAAAACTAAAACATATACTATTGTAGAAAAAAGGTAGATGTTCACACTCAGTATAGGTTTTGTGAGGCTTTATTCAAGTCATGGAGGTATTAAAGTTACAAAAAACACAGATTAAAGAGATTTCTTACAATCACCCCACGAAAAGGGACAAAAAGTTGACTTTATGTATCTACTCCTTCTTATTTTTCAGAGTTTTCTTGAAGCACTTCCTGAAACAGAACATGCAGCTTTTGACGGTCACAAAAATAACAGTCACTAGAATGAGAATGAGAAAGCCAATGACGTCCAGGGAATGATACTGAATCCAGTTCAGCTCATGGGCTGCGGATCTGAGATGATCTGCCCCTTTGTGCCTCATGACAAACTCAGTCCAGAACACAGCCAGGTCCAGAGGCTCAATGGGACGGTCTCTGTGAATAGCTGAAAGCTCTAACATCTTCTCCTTGTAGCTGATGAGTCAAAAATGGAGGAAGTATTTTTATATTTTGTTGCATACAAAAAGATTCCACAATCTACACACGCAAAACTATTTGTTGTAGGATTTACTAAATTTTCACTCAGAAATTGCTAATAAATGTAATAAATAAATTTACAAAAAAGGCATGTAACACGATTAATTGAATGTGAAATTTTGTAGAAAGATTGTATTTTTTTATTCTCATATGCCAAACATGCCACTTTGAGTTCAATACTAAATAAATGCTGTATTAATCAACACAATGTATTAGTGCATAAATTGCATTTTTAATGCACAGGCTAAACGTAATACATGTGTTTTACCTTTTGTCATCGAGGACCTTTCTCAATGCAACCAGCAGTTTTTCTGAGGTTACATCAAAGATACTCAGGGCTTCTGCAACACCTCGAGCCACTAAACGCTGGGCATTATCCCCTTGGTCTCCAAACAGAGGAAGCATCACCATTGGCACCCCATTACAGATTCCTTCATAGATTCCATGTGATCCGCCATGCGTAATAAAAGCCTTAACCTTAGGATGGCCTACAAGAAAACAACACATTCAGTATGTTAGAGTGTTGTCAAATGATTTTGTATTGAAAAATGCCATAGTAATTCAAACAACATGCACCCCCTGACTCTTGCCATTAGTTTAAAAAAAAAAAATGCACACTTATTTAAATAAAATGTCTTCCAGGAAGGTTAGAGGGTCAAAGGAGAATATAAACATACCCAAGAGATCATTTTGTGGAAGCCATTTCATCAGTTTGACATTCTTTGGAGCATTTTCAGGGACTGGTCCAGTGTACCTCCAGAGCACCTACAAATCAAAGAGGGCTTAAAGTTTATTTTTGAAGCCATGTAAGTATGAACATACAGTATGGTGACATGCATTATTTTGCATAACATTATGTTGTTATGAAATGGTGCTGTTATTCAGTACCCTGGTTCAACCAGACTCTCGTAGGCTTCATTTCATTTGTACAGAGAGTCCGGCCTCTCTCCATTGAGAAACATTTACTTCCTTGTAGGCGGGTTTGAAAAGTATATTTGACACTAAGGAGAGTAATGTATTCATTCAACTATCGAAGCTGGGTATAATCGTTAAAAACACGCGGACACAGCTGTGGTCGTTTCGGATCTGCTGCAAATGCTGTACAGTGAATGATCTGTCTCTATCTGCAGATGTATAATAATGCCATGCAAAGAGGAGGCAGCTCTGATCGCCAAACCTGATGTGAGCTTACCGGCCTGCGAGGGGAGACAAGGATCCCCCAGACGCAGTGGCCGTTGGGCACAGGTGCACCTGTTATGCGACAGATCGCTCCACTGCGCTCCACCTCATAACCCTTGAACGCTCCTCCCTCAAGGGTAGCGAGGGGGGAAAGCTATTCAGGCAGTTTCTGGCAGAGAAAGGTGTCGTCCACAACCTGGTAAGCTTTCCATGCACTTCAGGAAAGAAAGTCACTGGGGCTGAGCTGAGAACCAGAGCGGCCTGCCCCGAGATACCAATCAACCAAGACTGAACGGGACATGGTGAAGGGTTTCACTCGAGCCCAGCAGCCTCGTTGGCCTGTTTCAGCATAGCTGAAATTTCTGGATCTGGCTCGGGCAATGTTACTCTCCCAGAGGGAGATCTCCAGAGGCCAGCTCACCTATCGACATCTTATCTTGTGGGGGACACCCAATTGAAATGGCTGATCGGTCCATTACAGAGGGACCAGCACGTTCAACAGGAATTCCATCGGCTGTGGTGTGATGGAGGAGTGAAGAGCCCACAGGGAGAGACATCCATCACTATCCTCTGATCACTCATTCCACATGGGGTTGGGGCATAGTAATGGGGACTCGCGCTTTGGGGACAAAGGCGAGTTTCGATCTCAACACAGCGAAAGTCATGATCCCGCAATGGGAACATGAACCGTCCACAAAAGCCCAAACATGTGATGCAACAATTGTGACAGAGAGGAAAAGGGAACGACCGCATCCAGAAACGCACGGGTGGAATGACATCTTGAAAAAGATGCAAACGCACCCGTGTTGCTTTTTCAGGAAATAGGACCCATTACCAGTGCTGGAGCACACAGGGGAATGGCCGTAACAACACTGAACAGTGAACTGAAACAGTGAAGCACTCACTTTTTCACCCTCTAACAAGCCGTCAACACACACAAACATTTAGAAATTTGTTGCTGTTAAAACAGCAGTCGAGAGCTCAAAGCTAACGATCACCGCTACACTCACGCTGTAGAAACCACCAACACTGGGAGAGTCTTCCAGAAGAACACAGACACACTTGCTCGTTGTAAACAACAGCACTCTTCAGAGACATCAAATGATCGGCTCCGAAGCGAAAGGCAACTAGTGCGTGAATCCACTTCCATATTTATACTCGCACCATGGGGCAGAGTGTGTGATATCATCACACAGGCAAAATCCATTGGCTCGTTCATTAGTACTCGTTCCAAACGTGATCTAAATTTAGTCAAGGGACCCATCATTTTTTTTTTTTTTTTCAGACCAGGTTGATTATTTTGGGCTTATTTTCCCCAGACCTTTTCCAGCATATTACAGAAACGTTTTATCTTAAGTCTTAAGTCTTAAGATCTGACAAGTTTATTTTGGAATTTTCACAAATTCATATTACAGAACCAAATCATAAGTTGATTTAGAATTCTTATCCTATCTTATAAAATCTCATCTTATGCAGTTTGGGGAAAAAAAAGAATGGGGAAACAAAATTCATTAAGTTAAGTTTTTATAAGCTTGATAGAAAAGGCAAAGCCTAATCCTTTTATTTCATAAGAGTCTGTAATTATTTTTCAGAATTTTGTCATCAAAAAGCAGCACATCATTTGGGTGTTCACAAAGTCTTTACACCATCAAACATCATTGATACATGTGACGCCATTCTCAGACAGGGCTATCATTTTGTGATTGTTACAGTAATAATTAATTTCACAAATAGTTTTGACGTTAGGACATCATTGGGGTTGTCCTAAAGTTAAGACAGTTTTTAGGATTTTTTTGTGGAGTTAGGAAGATTCTGTAATGCCCTTTTTCCTATCTGTGGTTAAGATAAGAAATGCACTAATGTTATTTTGTAATATCTTTTGTCCTAAATGTGGTCCTAACTGAAATTGCCATGGTAACCAAACAGATAAGGATCTTTCTGTAATGTACCCAATGTCACTTTTTTTCTCTAGCAAAACATGACAACACTTCTGGCCATTCTTTAACATGATCATCATAGAGTTACTTTAAAGATAGCATTTCAATTGTATTTAAGCATTTAAAAAGAAGTCTTTTTTTTAAGTGTACCACACTTACCCTCTGAGGTATCTGCCTAAATGCCTCAAAGAACTCTCTGGCTTTGGCCTCGGGTAACTGTGACACCATGGAGCCCAGAGTGAAGACCACAAACCCATGCTCTCCAGAACCATTCGCAAACTCCTCCAGCTCCTACACAGAGGACAGATATCAGTATTGAGATATCACGTTTCATGGACACAAAAGCACAAGCTTTCACGGTTAACTATACTCCTATTCATTGTAAACAGTCCAGTTTTAGCTCACTCACTCAGTCACTCACTCACTCACTCGCACAAATACCAACATGAACTTGCATGTTCAAACTCTGAACTTCTGAAAAGCAGCATACTGCATCAATAAAACCTCTTGGTAAAAACTACCTTTCGCTTTTTGCTTACTGAAAAAGTACACAATATAATTGCAAAGACAATGAGTCTCATTTCATGCTTGAAGATTATAGTGGTCAAACAAAGAAAAAATATTTAGCCTCCAGTTAAATTCATGCTGGACCAGAAAATTCTAAAATTATGCACAATATCTTAACTCCTAAACTGACTCTCTGAGTGATCCCATGTTAATTTATACAAATCTAAGAAGTTGCATTAACTGTACAGTCTTACCAGTAAAAGACATGTGAAAGCTCTGTATTTTGAAACAGCATAGAACTGAGAATGGCTAAGCTCATTAACATCTTACCTTTGTCAGTGAACCCCTTTTTGCACAGTTGATGCCCCCTATATGGACCATGTTTGGCATTTGAGGTTTGGGGAACTCAAAGGTAAAGTTATAGAAGCCAAACTACAGTGTGATCTAATAGCTCTTTGCATGTAGTTTCCTTCTGCAGATATCTACTGGCCAGTTCATCAGCACTGGCAAACTTTTTACGGCAAATGAACATTTCAAAAACTGTCATAAGCATATCATTTACTGTCTAAGGGAAAGTCATCTTATCTAAGCAACCGATGGACAAGCACGGGACAGAAGATGGAGGCGAGGGACACTGACTGGGAATCAAACGCAAAAAGTAAATGGCAGGAAGGAAGTGAGAAGCTTAGCCAGGCTATAAACTCCAGAGCAGGAACACTCAGTGATCTCACCACACCTCTAACGTTTGTACAGTAGACAACTGGGAATGTTTTCAAATGAGGAGGTGCTTCTAAACTAAACAAAAGGGGAGTGAGTGTTGACAGATCTCTGGCTGCATGTGTGTACAGTACAACTAATCAGCGCAGACTTTTAAGCAACATCTCTACACTGTGGTTTAAAGTTTAACAAGTGGGATAAATGTAGCTCTGGGTTAATATTTCAAGAACGTAAGAGCATGTAAGATCTGTCAAAGTTATAAAGATAGCTTTGTTCATAGAAAGGGCAAGAGGACTAAATGTTAACAAGTGGTAAATATCCTGGTAACACTTTTCAATAAGGTTCAATATGTTAACATTAGTTAATGCATTAGGTAACATGAAGTAACATTGAACAATACTTTAACAGTGTTTATTAATATAGGCTGTACGGTGACAGAGAGAGCTCTACTATGAAAGTATTTTTGGTGCAAAACAACTGAATGCCTGTGACAGTGGAATTTGTAGTTGTAGAGAATAGCCATGCATGTGTAACAGTGAATTTGAAGTCACAGAGAGAAATGTTGAGTTGCAGACTTTTTTATCTTCCACAAACACAACACAACAGAAAATTCTTCATTGCAGGTGCACAAATCCTATTCTACAAATTACAAATTAAGAAACTTAATCTTCCAGAGGTCTTCCAGATGTAAAAAAAAACACATCAAATAGACATCTCTGTGATGTATGTGTGCTATCAGGGTAAGCTCTAGTTCACTCCTCCTATGCCAAGGAACCGAGAGTTGTCATCCAGTCTCTTTGGTAGAGAGAGAGACGAATAAAAAACAAACAAGCATGCAAATGGAAATTATCCCGGCTGGAAAAATTATCAAGCTATTGATAATTTTATTGTGCGATTAAAGCAGCACTCTGTAGTTTTTTCAAACTTTATAATATTTTTCCAAACCCTTGAGATGGTACATCGACTTACAATAGGTTGAATGACAGGTCTGCCATAGCTTGACGTGGTCTGTATTTTACTGGCACTCTGTAACTTCGGGGAGCACATAAAGAACTACAAAATTCGACTGCTTTACGGCATACATCAGCTCGGGCCAGCTTGAGACGTGAAAGTATGCTGATTGCTGAGTTTGGTAGGGGCTACATTCTTGCAAGTAACAACACGCCGCAAAGAAGGGATACACCTCTGCTGATGAACTCCCCGCGCCCCCGTCGGTTCCTATGCTGGATATTTCCTTGGTCCTCGAGGCCTTGAAAGCATATCCCTTTGAACCCTTTGGGTGTCAGGGGTTATTCCACTAGAGGCATGGCCTCGTAATGTGCATGGTCCAGCGGAATTCCTATTCATGACGTATGTGTGGTGGCAGCTAGGCCTCCCCATCCACCTTTGTCAGGTTTTATAACCTGGAAGTTCCCGCCCTGTAGGCTAAACGTCTGTCAGTATAAGTGAGATGTATGTTCTGTCTTAGCTCTCCTGGTTGAGCTGCACTATATTTGGGTTAATATGCCATATGTTTATAGCGCCACTCTCTATTCCCTATGAGTGCTTATGTTCTTATGCCAGCCTGCTGGCCCCGCTTAAATCTGGGATCCCCGGCATTCCCTGGGACTCATGAGTAGAAGCTTGGCGCGCATGACGTTGACAAAGGGTTACCGTAGCATAAGCTAACTTTTCCTTTTCTTTCTTCATTCTTACAATGACTCGCAGTTCAGTTTTTACATCACTCAAAGGAACAAAAACAGTGAAAGGTCTCAGTGCGTTTGGACTAAATCCCTGAATTTGAAACACCATATAGCCTTAGCCTATACTGTTTTTGCTGTATAAAGATATGGCAGCAAAAATAGTAAGAGTAGTTTGGGCGTGTCCATCAGCTACTGTTTTTGAACAGATATTGCATTCTAACATTGCTTGTCCTGTGTTTCCAGATTTACTTTTTTAAATCAAACTTTATACACAACTATAGTGCAGCATTAGTAAGCCTATTAGGAACTGAAAAATAAAGACTCACTTTTGATAAAGGTTTTGGTTTCTGGCTAACTGTTGCTCCAATCATGACCATGTTTGGCATCACCGGACGTGGGAATTCCAAAGCAAAGTCAAAACGCATAAACCAGAGAGCTGCACGGCTCATGATCTCCACCATCGATGTTTTTTTCTGAAGTGCTCTTGAAGCGATCTCATCTGCACGAGCAAACATATGTTTGCAAGCCATGGGCTGCAGGAGAGTCCTTACCAGGTTCACACTTCTTTGCCAAAGATGCATGCGGTCAGTAAAGTGAGTTAAAGGTTGTGGAACATAAGAGGCTGGAACTGGACATTGACTGGCAAGAGCGTCAACACCACAAGGATGGTTTATTAGCATATAAATAGCTGGAACTGAGAGATATTCACCAGCTATAGCTCCAATGGGCTCAAATGGATCTGTGAGAATAGCATCAAAGCTGTAGTCTTGCAGTTTATTCATCAAGTCCCTGTTGAAGAGTAGACTCTCTGCATTTCTCACTATGAAGCTTTGAAGAATATCCAGTGAAAAAATAAATGTCTGGAACTTGGCCAGGTCTGTAGAGACATCAACACTCAGAAGTGTGTTTATTTTATCTGCCATGTCTGCTTCTAATTCATCCTTGGTGTAGTTCACTGGATATGTCAGAGTGGTGGTATTCTGTGAAGGACCCATACTTAGACTCGCCTCTGGGATGACGACCACCACCTGGTTTCCTCTCCTCCCCAGCTCCTCCACAATAGGCTTCATCCCTAACCAGTGACTGCCATCTGATGGAATAACCAACAGTTTTCCAGCTTCAGCTGAACCCAAGAAGAAGAGACTCAGGAGCAACCATACAACAGCCATTTTATCAATGGTGTGAAGGACAGAGGCAGTTGAAGGAGATTAAGTAAGAAAAACACTTACACAGTGTAACCACAAAGGTTAAAGTACTATATTGAGTTGGGGCTGGGTTCAAGGGAGTGGTGATGTTTGCAGCTTGTAGGATGTGCTAAGTCCAAATATGGCATTGAAGTAATCAATGGTATGCCTTCATAGACATGTTATCAACTTAGATTAGAGCATGTTGACCTGGACCTATATATATATATATTAATTTTTTATTTATTTATTTAATATTATTTTTTTATATGACATCAAATCTTACTCCCTCGATGTGACTGTCCCACATATTTTCTTTCATTCCTGACCTTATGCTGCAGCAGCCATCCTCAAATATCACATCAAGCAGATCTATACATATTGAATCCATTTGACAATTTGACCAATCAACCAACAAGGCAAATTAGACAGTTATAGACCACTGTTAAAATAATTAAGTACTTTTCAAGGACTTTCAAGTCCTTCAAACAACTATTTATAGGTAATCAAATCTCAAAATCATCCAAATTATCTCATTTAAATGTTAATTTTAATGTGATGACTATGTAAAAACGTTTTATAGTTCATTCTTCAAAGATTGTCGCTATTTGTAAAACTAAAAGGAGCACTTATTGGCTCATTAGCTATTTCCACTCCATAATAGCCCTTTTTTCACATTTTGCTTTTTAATTTATATTTAATTTTTAGACATTATCAAATCACTATTATAACATAAAAATGTACACATTTGCAGTGCCGTTGAACTCATGTGATACGACTATAACAACCAGATCATTTTAATTTACTTGCTTTTCTCTTTTATTATACAAATTATATTTTACACAATATGACTCTGTTAATCCTGCAATAAAAATACACCCAAAGTATCACAGCCACCACTAAATGCCCCTTTTAGCCATTGACATTAACCTAGATTGACATTTTTTTTTTTTTTTTGCAGTCAAAAAAACAAAAAAAACAAAAAAACTGTACAGTCTTACCAGTAAGTGCCTTTCACTATTGTAAAAGAAAGCAATTAAAGCTCTGTAGTTTGTGCACAATTTAAAATATCTGAGAATGATATATTTTACCTTTGTCAGTGGACCCCTCTTTGCACAGTTGATGCCCCCTATATGGACCATGTTTGGCATTTGAGGTTTAGGGAACTCAAAGGTAAAGTCATACCTATGAAGCCAAACTGCACCATTCCCTAATAGCTCTTCGTATGTAGTTTCCTTCTGCAGATATCTACTGGCCAGTTCATCAAAGTTGGTATACAGTTTTCGGCAAAGGAACATTTCAAAAAATGTCATAAGCATATTATTTACTCTCTGAGGGAAAGTCATCTTATCTGAGTAACCAGTAATGAAGCGTGGGACAAAAGATGGAGGCGAGGGACATTGTGCGGCTGACTCATCAAGCCGACAGGGAATTCCATGCAAGAAGTAAACAGGGGGAAGTGAGAGGGAATCGGCAAGGATAGTGCCACATGGCAGGAAAGGATCGGTGAGCAAAATATCAAATCCAGTCTCTTTTAGACTCTTCATCAGGGGCTTGTCGTATAGCAGCCCTTCACAGGCTTTCACCTGCATATTTGTGAACTCTATCAGGTTCCCCAAATTCTCAAAAAAATCAGTTAATTGTGGAGGCCTCTCAAACGCATTCTTCTTAATGTTGTCCAAGTTTGCATTCATCTCAGCATGGGTGTATGGCACACGAAAAGACTTAGTGGCATAATTGCCAGACGCCCTAATCAGAAAACTGGTTTCAGGGACCAGGACCACCATCTCATGACCCCTCAGAGACAACTGTTCCACCAATATCTTCATGCTCAGCCAGTGGCTGCCATCCACTGGCATGACAAGCACCTTTCCAGCCTGCACAGGCTCTGAGGAGAACAAACTTAGCCAGGCTAATAGACCCAGAGCGGGAAAACTCAGTGCTCTCACCATTCTTCACATGTTCATACAGACAGCGTACAGTTTAAGAAGCCTGGGAATGTTTTTAAAAGAGGAGGGGCCTCAAAACTAGACAAAAGGGGAATGAGTGTTGATAGGCTGCCTGCTGCAACAGCTCAGATTTTTTAGCTATGTCACTGCACTGCAGTTTAAAGTCTAACAAGTGGGTTAAATGTAGTTCAGGATTAATTATTTCACGAATATACAAGCATGTAAGAACGATCACTTAAGAGATAGCTTTGTTACAAAGTTCAAGAGGACCAAATGTCAGCAACAGGTTGTTGATATATTGTTAACATATTTCATTAAGGTTCATCATGTAAACATTAGTTAACGCATTAGGTATCAAGAACTAACAATACTTTTACAGCATTTATTAAAGGCCGGGTAGTTATGCTGGATGAAAGTCACTTCACATATCACATATTGTCTCTTAACAATCACTAAGTTAAGTGGTCTAAATGTATTTATATGTATATATCTTTTCTCTGGAAGGCATACGAACATAAAATGTTCATCCAATCATTGAATTCGGTCCGAATGCTATGATACAATGTCTTTCCTGCCTATCAAAGTATGTATTTCCATACAAACATGCACCTTGCTCGCACAGACATAACGAGTTTCATGCCATGCAAAGTTAAACAGACGTCAGTCGCTGAGCACCACAATCAAAACAACAGACACCTTTTACAGTCCTGAACCAAAACAATGAGCTTATGCTCTGTTCACAAATTAACTACTGTAATTTGGAAGAGATGGAAACAGTTCATGACTTGAATTTATGCATTTCAATGCCAACACTATCAATGCCGCAATAAATCTGCAGCAGTAAGCTGGTACAGGTCAGTGATCTTTAAGTTCCCTTTCAGTCAGTGACGACTGCAGCGGTGGTCGCGACTTCAAAGAGCATTTCTTGCTGTTGTAATACAGCCTAAAGAGCTTTCGGTTGCACACTGCATCACAGACAAAATCCTGATCCTTACCTACAAAAAGCCATCCACCACCTGGCCCCCTCATACCTCACTGACCTCCTCTCCCCCTACCAACCCTCACGGTCCCTCAAATCCACCTCAGCCGGTCTCCTCTGTATACAATTCCAAGCTTCGCAGTTTTGGGGACAGAGCCTTTTCAAGGCCAGCTCCCAGGCTCTGGAAGTCCCTCCCCCATGAGATCCGCACCTCTGAGTCCCTCACCATCTTCCAGTCCTGCCTCAAGACCCATCTCTTCACCTCTGCCTATCCGTAGCCCCACGCCCCTCCCATCTCTATACTGTATGTTCCATATTTTTTTTTTTTTTTTTTTTGCTTATTAAAGTGAATTGTAAAGTGTACTATGTTGTATAAAGTGCACTGTCTTGTAAAGTTCAATTATTATTATTTTAATCTAAAAGCCTGCACTGGTATCAGAGCAATTCAGTACACAAGTGAATCTAAATCTGGAGAATATTTAACATGATTGAACATACTGTTCAAAAATCCTACAGGAGCCTTGGAGTTAATCTCACAAAACACTTTTGTGATTTGTAAGGTGAAAATAGTCAGATATGTACAAGTGGCTTTACTCAAATAGATACATGCAAGATTAGAGTATTGAACACCACACCATACTTAAAGGGATAGGTCAACCACAAATTAAAAATAGCCCATGACATCCTCAGCCTCAAGACATTCTGGGTTTATATGACAATATTCTTTCAGACGAAAACAATAAGAGATATGTATTAAAAAAAATGTCATGGCTTTTCCAAGTTTTATAATGACAGTGAATTGCTGTTTCTGTTTTGAAGTACAGAAAAGTACATCCATCCATTGTAAAAAAAGTGCTCCCCACACAGCTCAAGGGAGTTAATAAAGGCCTTCTGAAGCAAAGCAATGCATTTCTGAAAGAAAAATATCCATTTAAAACTTTACAAACTGTAATCTCTAACCTCCGCTAACTGTTGAATGTGGGGAACAGGCAAAAGTAATAAAAGTAACTGTAAGTTCCGGTGTCAAATGCAATGGGCAGAGAGCAAAACATAAACACTGGTCGCAAATTAGAAGTCTAAAACAAACTTGGTTCTCGCGAGAACTAGCATATTCTCACCCGGAGCATCCTATGGAATAAGTCCTTATGAATTCAGCTATTAATGTTCTAATCAGTTTAATACTAAAATCCCCGAAATAATTTTCTTGTTAAGCAATATCACTCTAACAACCGTTGTTCTCAATGGCAACACTGGAAACCAGACTGGAAATGCAACTAATGGACCCTTTTTACATTGTTGGGGTTTTCAGAAGCTGAAGTGGTAGTTATCTAAAGGTATAAACAGAAAACCCAAGTATATATTTTTTTAAGTTTAAAGTTCAAGTAAAAAACAAACACTTGATCAACTTGAAACCAAAATGGTGAACCATTGAAATTCCGAAACATTTCAAAACAGCTATGACGTAACAAAGTCTTATTTACTAAAATCACCTGACAGTTTGATACACACTCCGAACCACTGATTTGAAAGTGCCCATCACTACTCTGACACAGCACAAGTTCCCTTGATAGGGAACAACCCAAAATCTAAATAAGACATTATGGAACTACCACTGTAACAAGTAAATTTTTTTTTTATGTTTTACTTTTGAATTTAGTTTTAGACACCAAATCATAACATTAAAATATCTATTTTTTTTTTTTTTTTTTTTCAATTTTGTCACTTGGTGTACAGAAGTATGAAGTATGATTTTATAAATCAACTTCACAATGAATCTTTCATTGACATTGTATCTCTGCTTTGTTTGTTTCAATGAGAGGATTTGTGCTGATGTAAAACTTAGTACTGTAAATGTTTGCTAAACATAAACTCATTCAGCATTTTGAGAGATACTGAGCAGATTCTAAATCAGTAACTGGAACACCTCTAATTGGTCATTGTTTTGGCAGCCACCATAACCAATTAATGCTCCTGGTAGGCATTAACATTAACCTAGATTAACACTTGCTGTTTGGTTGAGGGGTTAACTGTACAGTCTTGCCAGTAAATTCCTTGCACTGTTGTAAAAGACACTGTCACACAAGACTGTATGTTGTGTAAAATGAAAACATCTGAGAATGGCTATGCTTATTAAGATCTTACCTTTGTCAGTGGACCCCTCTTTGCACAGTTGATGCCCCCTATATGGACCATGTTTGGCATTTGAGGTTTGGGGAACTCAAAAGTAAAGTCATACCGTAGAAGCCAAACTGCAGCATGTCCTAATAGCTCTTTGTATGTAGTGTCCTTCTGCAGATATCTACTGGCCAGTTCATCTGCGCTGGCAAACAGTTTATGGCAAAGGAACATTTCAAAAACTGTCATAATCATGTTTCTTGCTCTCTGAGGGAAAGTCATCTTATCTGAGTAACCGGTGAAGAAGCGCGGGACAAAAGATGGAGGCGAGGGACACTGAGCGGCTGACTCATCAAGCCGACAGGGAATTCCACGCAAGAAATAAATGGCGGGAAGTGAGAAGGAATCGGCAAGGATAGTGCCACATGGCAGGAAAGGATCAGTGAGCAAAACATCAAATCCCGTCTCTCTTAGGCTCTTCATCAGGGGCTTGTCGTATAGCAGTCCTTCACAGCCTTTCACCTGCATATTTGTGAACTCGATCAGGTTCCCCAAATTCAAAAAAATATCAGTAAATTGTGGAGGCCTCTCAAACGCATTCTTCCTTATGTGGTCCAAGTTGGCATTTAGCTCAGCCATGGTGTAGGGCACACGGAAGGACTTAGTGGTGTAATTGGCAGACGCCCTAATCAGAAAACTGGTTTCAGGAACCAGGACCACCATCTCATGACCCATCCGAGACAATTCTTCCACCAAGATCTTCATGCTCAGCCAGTGGCTGCCATCCACTGGCATGACAAGCACCTTTCCACCTTGCAAAGGCTCTAAGGAGAACAAGCTTAGCCAGGCTAGAAGCGCCAGAGCAGGAACACTCAGTGATCTCACCATACCTCTAAAGTTTGTACAGTAGACAGCAACTGGAGATACAACACATTTAAGACGCCTGAGAATGTTTTAAAATGAGGAGGTGCTTCTAAACTAGACAAAAGGGGAGTAAGTTGATTTCTGGCTGCCCGTGAGTACAGCACAACTAATAATCTCAGACTTTAATGTTATGTCACTGCACTGTGGTTTAAAGTCTAACATGTGGGTTAAATGTGGCTCTGGGTTAATATTTCAAGAATGTGTAAGGATTAAGAACTGTCACAATTATCTATAGTGATAGCTTTGTACAAAGGTAAAGAGGACCTGCAACAGGTTAAAATTTTGGTAACCCTTTTGTCATTTTAACATAAGCATTATACCATGAACTATATCACAATAAACTTTTACAGAATTTATGAATTATGTTTAGTTAATTTCTACATATTCAGATAGTTTTAACTTTTCAAATATTATGGACTCACATTGTTAAGCTAACATGAAAAACAACAACAATAATTATAAATCAGCATTGACCTAATAAATAGTTTTTTAAATAATTCATTTTGAGAAAGGTCAAAAAAAAATATCAAAAAGTATCTTAAAATATCATGTAATTTTACCTTTTTATGACGAGGCAAAGTTAGTTTATAAAAAAAAAAAGAAAAAAAAGAAAAGAAAAAAAATTAAGCCAAACTACTTAATAATTAATTTTGACCTTTTTCTTCATTATGATATCAGGACAGTTGTATCACCCTGACAATTTTTTACTGTATGCCTAAAAATATAAAAATTTGTTTCAACAAAAAAAATATAAAAAATCATAGAAGATGTAATCAAGTCATTGTATTTCGGATTTGAATTTTTTTTAATTAATTCGAAAAGAAATAAACATGAGGCCTCTAATAGTAATATTAACAAATGGAATCAAGCTGCAAGCATAACCAAGTATTTTTTTCCCAACACAATTGTTTATAAATTTAAGGGAATAAGTCCTTTTTTGGTCAATAAGTACAGAGTTTGTTAGAGGATATAGTTATTGGTTTCATCTTGTTCAAAACAATTTAAATGTTAAAAATAATTCTGCAAGTCACTATGGCCTGTCAGTACAGGATTGCCTCAGATATCATGCAAACACACAGGAACACAGGGCAGTGCACGCAAACATGAACTCTCACATACAAGAGGGCTGTGGCATGAGGGGGTTAAGCTGCAACTCTACTCTGAATGAAAGAAACTGCTGAGAGAAGGATTACAGAGCACATGTTTTTTTTACACACAATGACCTGTTTGCAATTTAATCTTAAGCAAATGAGTGTGTTTGATTAAAATTTTAATGAATTTATAGAAATGTCAAAAAGTATAAAGACAAACACATCTAAATCTAAAATCCTGCACTGGTTTCAGAGCTATTCAGTACACGAGTAACTCGACATGATCCAACATACTGTTAAAATATACACACGAGTCAATCTCATAAAGCACTTCCATGATGCAGGTGGAAAAAGTGGCTTTAGCAGGTCTTTTTACTTTTAAAAGTTGGCACGTATACTGAAAAATATCCTAGCATACATTAGAGTACATCCACACACTACTAACGTCAAATCTAATGTATCTCTTTCTCTCTGGTTATCTGTCAAATCTTTTTTTTTTTTTAATCTACACTGAATTCAAATCTAATGCCTAAAAATGCCATAAATATCAAATGATTATGAATACTGTAAGCCCTTATGAATTCAGCTATTAATTATCTAATCAGTTAGATACTAAAATCGGTTTGCTTTTCTTGTCTATAAGAAAGAATATATTTCTCAATCAGAGTAACAATGGAGAAAAAAAATCAATGTTGTTCAGTTTGGAGTGCAGGTGGGCCCAGATACTGCAGGGCACGATTTACTCACACTTCCTTTGGCAAATGATTCCATACAGCCAAAATAAAATTTTAAAAAAAATCATTGAGTGGGGTCTCAGAATCCTCACCACTGGTTTTCACCATTTTCTTTGCAACCGATCAGACTGACACTGACTTGTTTTTCATTGAAAGCTTTAAAATAAAAACACTGGCAGGCACACATCTACATGTCTTTCTTTTTTTACTGTCTATGCATGTAGGATTATTACAAATAAATTGTGCTTAGTTGAATGTAAGGGGATGAAGTGAGTAAATAATGACTCCTATCTTGTCCCTGATTGGTGGAATTGGTGGTTACAGCTCTCCCAATGTTACAACCCAGTCCACCTCTATGTCTGGTTTCATTTTAAAACTTGGTTTAACTAGCTGTTTAAAAAGAGAGAACAACTTAATTTAAATGTCTAAATATGAAACAGAACCGGTTTGTGCAAATGATCTGTTAAAAAAAACAAAAAACAGACTCAGACAATTATCTGTGATTATATCTCACAAAAATCTAACACAACACTGAGCTGTAACAAAAACTATGGGCTATCTGCTATAAAAAAAAAAAAAAAAAAAAAATGCCCTGTGCTATGTCCCACTCAAGCTAGCCCATCTAAATGAATATGGAAAAGTATTAAAACACTCTCTATGGTATAGATAATGGTGTGAGGTTTGCTCGTGGATTTGCTGGCTGTTTTCACAGTCCATTATGATGAGTTTATGACAGACTATGGATGGATAGAGAAAAGTGAGCAATGGGATAGAAGGAGAAAGAGCAACGACACTGATACTGTTAGTGCAAATGTACATGCAGTTACATGCAAACGTAATTATGGGAGCTTACTTGTGACAATGGTTTTGGCTTCTTAGTTGCCATTCCTCCAATCATGATCATGTTAGGCATCAACGGTCGTGGGAATTCAAAGGCAAAGTCGAAGCGCATAAACCAAAGAGCTGCACGGCTCATAATTTCCATCAAAGACGCTTTTCTCTGCAGTACACGTGAGGCGATCTCATCTGCGCAAGTATGCATGTATCTACAAGCCATGGGCTGCAGGAGAGTCCTTACAAAGTTGACACACCTTTGCCACAAATTCATCTGGTCTGTAAAGTGTGTATTACGTTGTGGAACATAAGAAGGAGGACTTGGGCATTGGCTGGCAAGAGCGTCGACACCACAAGGAAGGTTTATTTGCATATAAATAGCTGGAATGGAGAGATATTCACTGACAATGACCCCAACAGGTTCAAACGGGTCAGTGAGAATAGCATCAAATCTGTAGTCTTGAAGCTTCTTCATCAAGTCCTCATTGAAGAGCAGACCCTCTGCATTCCTCACTATAAACTTTTGAAGAAGGTTCATTTGGTAAAAGAAAACCAGAAACTTGGTCAAGTCAGAAGAAAGGTCATTACTCAGAATTTCAGTTAAATTCCCTTCCAATGATGCATGTAGTTCATCCTTGGTGTAGTTCACTGGATATGTCAGAGTGGTGGTATTCTGTGAAGGACCCATACTCAGACTCGCCTCTGGGATGACGACCACCACCTGGTTTCCTCTCCTCCCCAGCTCCTCCACAACAGGCTTCATCCCTAACCAGTGACTGCCATCTGATGGAATAACCAACAGTTTCCCAGCTTCAGCTGAACCCAAGAAGAAGAGACTTAGGAGCAACCATACAACAGCCATTTTATCAGTCAGTGGTATAATAAAATCTCACACGGTGGCTTTTGCCAGCTGTAGGGGAGGTCAACGAGAAACAACCAGGTGTAATGTGTAGCTTTAACTACTCCAATATCTCTCAATGAGTCTGGTTTATGCAAGCAGAGGTGGAGATCCTTGTAGCTGGGTGGGACTTTATCTATATGGTGTTGAAGCAACCAATTGGGGTGAAAGTTTAGTCATGCAATGTCATGCAAAAAAAAAAAAAAAAAAAAAAAAAAGAAAAAAAGAAATGAAATAGAGAAATGCATACGACTTGTTATGCCATAGATGAAAATGAAAAGAAAAAGAAAAAAGGGAAAAGGGAAAAGTAGGCTAACTTTTGTATAGATATGTTTAGTTTTTAAATACTTAAAAAAAATAATAAATAAGTGATTATTCCTGTCAAATACCAAACTCATAGCAAACATGAAATGTCTTCAGGTCTTAAAAGATATGCAAAATACTGGATATGTTTGCAGGGTAACAAAATTAAAAAAAATAAAAATAAAAAAATAGAGTGAGACATGTTAAATGTATAATTGCATTTTTTTTCCCTCACAATTTAACAAAAAATCTAAACACAATGGAATACTTATCTATAATTTATAACCTGTTAAAAAGCACTAACAAAAAAACAACACACTTTAAAATGCTATAACATAGACACTAAAATGTGTGGAACAATGTGTATTAAAGGTCATCACTAAGTTGTGCTCTTTTAAACATTTAGTTTCAAGTATGAGCAGATAACAATCACACCTTTCTGGCCTTTGACTGGTCTGCACAATAGTATCCTTCCATACCACAGCGCCCATACACGTTTCAGGACACACAAGCAGGCCCACATTTCAGGCAGGGGGTGGAGTTATTAAAACATAACACCATGGTGAAGAGAGCATGAGGTGTTAACAATTTATTTGTCTTTTAAATTAAATACTGACTATGTGCATGTATTTCACATTTCATTACTCCAGTCCACTGTGTGGGAAGCTTAAATTTGTTTTCATGCTATATCATTTTCAGCGTTTGTCGGACAGTTCAATTACTTTTTAGATTGGATGTTATAAATAGGCTTGGCGATGAAGCAATTTTATTATTGTTTAACCCTTTGCAATAAGCTTTCAAGTTAACTGCTTTGGTGAAAGGGATACTCCACCCAGAATTTTCTTTTTTGGGTGGAGTATCCCTTTAACTAAAACTAAGAATGAACTGCACTTTTTTTTTTTTTACTAATATGGAAATCAAAAGTTGTGGGCCTATTTGTTAACATTAGTTTATGCACTGTAAACTAACATGAACAAACAATAAACATATATATATGAAGAGTTCAGATGCAAAAGCCTCGAAGTGCCATTTGAAATTTTCTTCTAAAATGATCATTTTTATCAAGCTTGTATATTTAAGTTCAGTAATTTCACTTAAATGGCAATGAAGATTACCTATTAATTGTCATTTAAGTGAAATTACTGAACTTAAATATACAAGCTTGATAAAAATGGTCATTTTAGAAGAAAATTTCAAATGGCATTTAGAGGCTTTTGCATCTGAACTCTTCATATATATACTACAGTAGGCCTATTGTGCAAAAGTCTTATTGCAATGTTATTATGGCATGTTAATTTTTTTCACCCCAGATAATGACAGTTATTTAATTAATTAATAATATAGGCCTAATTATGCCTATATCTTTTGCTTTTGTGTCAGTAAATATCAGTTTACATTTCCAAACATTCCTTTTGCGATTAATCTAGCATTTCGAGATTAAAGTCAAAATATTTCGAGATTAAAGTCGAATTTGTTTTTTTATTTGCCTATACATTTTTGGAGGACTTGCATTACTGGTTATTCCCTACATTTGAAGGTTTACCTGTACTAACAAAGAAAAATTTAATTTTTGGTATTTTAATGAACAAATTTTTGGTATTAAAATGCTAGATTTGGCTGTTAACGCATTTATTGTTCTTGGGAAATTCCTAGAGAATAGAATCCTGAAAACACTTCCAAATTTTTATGTTTTTCATAAATAGTCTTTACTTCTTACTTCTAAAATTAATAAAGGAAAATAATGCCTTGATTTTATCTACTTTGATAGAACATTTGAAACTTTCTGAAATTGTCTGAGACATTTAATGTGTTGTACCTGGCCAATTTTGGTTGTTCTTGTTGTTGATGTTATTCAATAAAAATAAATAAATAAATACATAAATACATAAATAAATAATATGTCCAGTCATGTGGCCTACACTCAAAGCACTTTACAATCATATCAGAGAATCTCTCCTCAACCACTAGTGATTATTAAAGGAGCTCTAAGCAATGTCACACGTTTTTTAAGCCCAAATTTTTTTGTCACATACAGCAAACATCTCCTTACTATCCACTAGCTGCCTGTCCCCTAAACACTCTGTAAAAAAACACGGTCTATGCAGACAACCCAGGCTCCACAAATGGCAACAAAAACAAACTGCGGCAACCCGCTCCACGAAACATAACAAAGTGTTCCAGCCAATAACTGACAAGAAGGCCCTGGGGGTGGGGTTTGGGGGAGGGGGGGAGCAGTCTTGATGAGGAGGGGGGAAGGTCTATCTAGCCTCCGTTTTGTTTGAAAATACTTTAAACGTCAACAAGAATTCACGTCACACAACATCGCTTAGAGCACCTTTAAATCTGAGGAAATCACAGGATCCGGCCAAATGATTGGATACAGAGTGATGCACTTAAAATGTATCCAGAACGTATTTACAGATGGTTACTGTTGTGTTCTCGACCCAGATAGTGTTGCCTAGCTCTGAGCTAGTGGACGCGCACTGTTATGAATCCACACACTTCTGTGGAAGACTGTATTAATATAATGTTTTGACTTTTTTCTCGAAAGGTTTGACTTTAATCTCGAAACGTTTCGACTTTAATCTCGAAAATTTTCGACTTTAATCTCAAAATATTTTGACTTTAATCTCAAAACATTTCGTCTGTAATCTCTTTTTTAACATGTTTTTTTAATTTAATTTATTTTTTTTGTTTTGTTTTTTACGTTGCGGTTCAGGGCTTCCGTAATTTACAGTACATTTTTGCTGAGTTTTATTGTTTTTCAGAATACTCTACACGTTGTGTTGGGAGCTTCCTTTGAATTTTGATGTAAATAATTACCAGCTCAAGTAATTGCATGGATACAGTGGATATTTAAAGTTTTCTTTATATTTCCATCTTAAAGTATGACTTCCCAAATATAAGGAGATGGTGGGTACTGTAGGACCCAAATATAATTTGTTCAACCACTAGATGGCAGGGTGCACCAGTGGTGCAGGTGAAAGCCACACCTGTTCAATCACATGATATTTAAACTCCTAAACTGGGTTGAATCAGAAAGGGATAGGTGGCAGTGATATGGTTATTACCATAGAACCAATGCATTGTAAACTCTGTAAACATACATCTCATTAAATGGACAACAAACTGTTCAAACGGATACCGCTGTGTGGACATTGTTTTACTGAGCTTATAGGAAAACCACTACAGGTACTAACTTTGGAGTTTTGTCTGAAAGGGATCTCCTCTCCTTATTTCTATCCAGCTCACACTACATCACACCCTATCCCAACCAATACTATATAAATAAAAAATAATAATAATAAATAAAAAAAATAGTGTTACAGGACAGAAAACCTCAAAACCAAGGAGATGTGGAAAAAAAAAAAAAAAAACTACACCCAGCAGTTAGTGAGGTATGTATCAATATATACAATATTGCAAATCTTACATGTGAAAGATTAAAACTTTATTATTTTTTTCCATTTTATAATGAAGGAACTCCCAATAATCAAACACATGCTTTTGGCTGTGCAATGAAAACATTCAACAGACGTGTTCAGGGGCTCCATGGAAGAGCTTCTAACTATACACAGAAGACTGGTATATGTCAATAGATCTTAAGGACACATATTTCCAAATACAAATACCGTCACGTCACAGGCTAATCTTGAGATTCGTCTTTTGGGGTCCCCAGAGCCCCAGAGTGGGACAACTCAGTAGTCTCTCTCACTATTCCTCTAAAGTTTGTACAGTAGACAGCAACTGGAGACACGATACATTTCAGACGCCTGCATGTTTTCAAATGAGGAAGTGCTTCTAAACAAGACAAAAGGGGAGTGTGTTGATCTCTGGCTCCATGTGAGTACAGCACAACTAATAAGCTCAGACTTTTATGCTACGTCACTGCACTGTGGATTAAAGTCTAAAAGTGGGTTAAATGTGGCTCTGGGTTAATATTTCAAGAAAGTACAAGCATTAAGAAATTTTACAGTTATCTAGATAGCTTTGTTCATACAAAGTGTAAGGATACTGGGATATTAGCTGAGCATATAATTTTAATAACGAATTATGAAACATGATCACCTAGAAATTATAAAATTACCCGTAAGGGAATAAGTTGCCAATGTTCTGTATGAACGACTGAATGCAATGAACAATTGCACTATCAATAATCAGTCACAAGAATTACAATTAAATATTAATATGTGAATTGTCAAATATTAATAGATTGATTGTCAGAATAACCGTCAAGGGGATTAATTTATTTATCGAATCATCTGCTTGTCCAGCAAAACTGATCATTTGATCTCCATCAAACCTCACAAAAATCATTGTCCTTTATAGTCTTTCAAGAGAAGCTATTCCTCTCCACGAGAATAAAATTTCCTGTTAAGGCCTTAACTCCAAACAATTGGCCAATGAACCAGCTGATAAAATCTTCCGTTGATTGCGATACGTGAAATCTTACAACTTGACACACCAAATTAACCTATCGCATTTTACTGATGCAAAAGACGTGCAGTTAATCTAAAAGTTGATGAGTGTGTTGCGTTAACTATATTTAGGCCTATCAAAATAGTTTACCAAAGAAATAATTTACCAAATAAAAGAAAATGAAAAATCAAACAAGGTGAAGTGGCCTACTTTTCTAGAGTATTTTTATTATTATTATTATTATTATTATTATTATACAAAGCCCTTTTTGATAAATACAGTGGGATACAGTGCAAGCGGCATGGAATCACAGACCTGCATTGATGAGGTGATGTAATAAGATTTGTCATGATTT